GCTCCCTCTGAACTTGGACACATAAGGGTTGGCCCTTCCACACTCACTCATCTCTATCTGGTTATGCAAACTTGGGTGTAAGCACTGCCTGGGGTCACTTGAGACCCTTAGGGAACTTTGACACACCCAGGTCTAAGAAAGGCTTTGAAACAAGTTGGCATTTGAGGTGTTTTGTTCCATAACTCAGAGAGGAAGTCAGAATCAGGATTCCTATGGTTGTATCTTCTTATTTTCACACTTTTTTGATGTAATTAAGTATTTGGTCTGTAATAATTTGTAATAAGCATTTGGGTTGGTTAGTGAAAAAGGGCTGGGTAATTGTGCAATATTAACTATTAGAGGGGTAGAGATCATGCCGTTAGGACCTGTTTATTTTTTTTGTCTGATTAACCCAGTATTTAGATAATATGCCTATAGGACTTGTCTTTAAAGTTTGCATTGTTAACTCTGTATTTAGAGAACCTGTCCATAGGACCTGTTTTAAATTTTGCATTTAGACAACATGCCTATAGGATTTGTTTTAAGTTCTGCATGTTTATTCCCACATTTAACACCATGTTCTTAGCATCCTATTGGTTATAATCCGACATCTAAAATCGGTACCTTTTTCATAGAAATCATGCCTATAGGAATTTCAAGTAAATCCTGCCTGCTTCATTTCACGTTCAACCAGATATCATGTCTATAGAAATGAAAATGAGCAATAATAGATATCATGTCTACAGGATTTAAAATCAGCAATAATAGATGTCATCGTGTGAAACCAATCTAGTCTAAAATCAGCCAAACTCTCATCGTTCTAAACTAATTTCAACGACTCTATCCCTTCCTATTAATGCTGTTTAGAAAGCATGTTTATAGGATCTCACCCAAACACCTAGGCAAGCCTTAGGTGATAACAAAAATAAAACTGAACCCGCCTTTGTTAATCAGTAATTGCTACAACCAGCAGGCATGCCTGATTCGGACTTCTTATCTGAGTTATGTAATAAATTAGTCTGCTTCAACAACTGAAACTCCCCTGTCTTTAAACAGTTTTGTCTTAGCAAAGAAGATACTCCGGGATGGTTACTTTTAGATGACTATGGAAACAGACTGCATCCAGTATGTCCAGAAATGCAATCGCTGCCAGATACATGCAGACATGATAAAGGTAACTCCAAGCGAGCTCAACACAACAAGCTCACCATGGTCGTTCTCCGCTTGGGGAATGGACGTCATTGGACCAATCGAGCCTGCCGCTTCGAACAGACACAGGTTTATCCTAGTGGCAATTGGCTATTTCACCAAGTGGGTCGAAGCAGCGTCTTACAAAGCAGTGACTAAGAAAGTCGTGATACACTTTGTCCGCGACCGCATTGTTTGTCGATTGGTTATTCCAGAGTCAATCATTACTTATAATTGCTCCAATCTCAACAACGACTTGATGAAATCCATGTGTTAAACCTTTAAGATCAGACACAAGAATTCCACAGCCTACAGGCCTCAAATGAATGGAGCCGTAGAAGCCGCCAATAAGAATATCAAGAAGATATTGAGGAAAATGATAGAAAAACACAAACAGTGGCACGAGAAGTTAGCATTTGCTCTATTGGTGTATCGCACCACAATCCGCACATCGACCGGGGCAACCCCCGATATGCTGGTTTATGGTACAGAGGCGGTCATTCCCGACGAAGTAGAAATTCCTTCCCTAAGGATCATACAGGAAGCTGAGCTCGACGACGCAGAGTGGGTGAAGAGTCGTTATGAGCAACTAGCTCTTATAGATGGAAAGAGAATGAATGCAGTTTGCCATGGTCAACTCTATCAGAACAGAATGTCCAGATCCTTCAACAAAAGAGTCAAGCCAAGACAGTTCACACCGGGGCTGTTTGGTGTTAAAGAAAATTTTTCCGCATCAAGACGAAGCCAAAGGGAAGTTCTCTCCCAACTGGCAGGGCCCATACATGGTTCATCGGGTTCAGACAGGAGGAGCCCTCATACTTGCAGAAATGGACGGAGAAGTCTGGCCAAAGCCAATTAATTCAGACGCAGTCAAGCGTTAATATGTGTAATCTTTATTCTTTCCTCATATGATGTAAATTGAACTACGCCTGACCTGATTCCCGTTTAAGATGGGATACGCAGACAGCCCTATGGGTTTGGTCACAATTCAATAAAATTTTCATTACCCCCCCCCCCCCCCCCGCAATTGGAAACTAGGGGGACCCTCAAAATTCCGAAGTAATTTTAGCCGATCGTCGCACGAGCAACAGTTAGAGGTGTCAACCCATCAAACTAGGGCAGAATTTTGAGGAGGACCCTCAAAATTCCGTAGCAAGAGAGGTTGAAATGTCCTGAATTGCATCACAGTTGGCGGTTCATCTAAAAACTATTTTCTTGTAATCGTACATTTTTGTCATACTTTTACAAAATTATACGTGTTTATTGAAACTGCCTTGTTTAGCAACACTACCCCAATGACACAAATAGTATCACCAGATCAAAGCAGAACGAGTTAAGCAAAGCCGGCGGGGATACGAACTAACCTTTCCCCCCTTTACAAAACTCACAATTTTTCTTTGGATGTAGGCGCTCGGATTGCGAAGTCATTGAACATACCGTGCGTCCATAGCACAAACATTGTTCAGGAATATGATTCTCCGAATCATTGCACTTACCAACATCTGCTTTCAGCACGCACCCGTAATGTTCCGTGTGTCACAATGCTCCCAGTAATCACAACGCTGCAATCTACAATCAGCTAAGAAAACTCTACTGTCATTTGTTATTTTATTTCTTGCATAAGTCTACCATTCTGCCTTCCGACTTGCATAAGGCTACCATTCTACCTTCCGAGGTTAAGCTCTACCTTTATCTGCATCCGCATTGCATAAGGCTACTATTCTGCCTTCCGAGACTAAATGTTGTCTCCATCCGCAACTGCATGGTTGAAAGATCGCCACATACTACATCTACATGGCTGAAAGATCGCCTCATACCGCATCTGCATGGCTGAAAGATCGCCTCATACCGCATCTTCATGGCTGAAAGATCGCCACATACTGCATCTGCAAGGCTGAAAGATCGCCTCATACTGCATCTGCATGGCTGAAAGATCACCTCATACTGCATCTGCATGGCTGAAAGATCGCCTCATACTGCATCTGCATGGCTTAAGGATTGCCACATACTGCATCTGCATGGCTGAAAGATCGCCGCATACCGCTTCTGCATGGCTGAAAGATCGCCACATACTGCATCTCCATGGCTGAAAGATCGCCTCATTGTACATTTGCATGGCTGAAAGATCGCCTCATACCATGGCTGAAAGATCGCCTCATACTGCGTCTGCATGGCTGAAAGATCGCCTCATACCACATTTGCACGGCTTAAAGATTGCCACATTTGCACGACTGAAAGATCACCACATGCTACTGCATCTCATGGGCTGAAAGATCGCCAAATTATCCAAAGGCGTCATCGTTCGGAGGCACCATCTTCATAGCCCGGGAACACTATGTCATGGCCTGAGGACCCGCTTTAATCTCTCGTATATCATTATTCAACGGCATCATGGTTCGGAGGCACCATTTTCATGGCCCAAGAGCATCATTTCATAGCCTGCGAATCCTTTATTATGCGCTTCATGGCCCAGGACACCATGGTCTAAAGACGTCATCCTAACCGTCCAAAGACAACATTCATGGTCCGACGGGAATTTGCATCATGTCTAAATTTACGCACAATATATGCTTTGTATTACTTATTTGCAGGTAAACCAGCAAGCAATGGCTGTCCCGGCAGGAGCGCTTCTGCTCCAGTGTCCGCAGCCACATCAAACCTAACCATCCCCGTAAGCCTTTCACTCACCCTGACCGAAACATTGCGTCCGTTCTTGGAAAGAACCCGTCGGCATACTCCGCCAACGGATCCTTAACTACATATGGCCTGATTCCTGTAAAACCAGGGATATGTAGGCAGCTCAGAAGCCAGGGCGCGGCCTATCTTCTTCAAACCGTTTCGTTCGGTCAAATTGGCCATCATATCTTTACCCGACAACTCTTTCATCCTTCCCGGGTAAAGAGGGGCAGATGTTGATACCCAATTTTTCCCTATGTATTTTTCACTATGCAAAATAACTTCAAAATGGCATATGTATGCATATATACGTATATCCAAGTGTTTCATTATTTTTCCTTAATTTTTAAAGATTTTTAAATCAATTTATTCCCCTATTTTATCCATAAAAATCAAATAATAATTTCTAAAATTATCACTTTTGGTGATTCACTTGTTGAACTTTTATATATATGCTAAGATATAGCCGAGATGATTTTTGCATATTTTTACAAATTTTACTTAGTATTTTTAAAGCTAAAATTGCATAATTTCAATATTAGCCTCTTGTACGATTTAATTACGTTTACATTTACAAAAATTAACTCCAGTACTTTTAAATAGTTAATTATATGTTATAAATCATTTTAGCACTTTCAATTTATTTCCAACAATTAATTGATTACGTTTTATAAATAAAATAAAGAAAATTGGCTATTTAAATAATGGCCCAATTTCATTTCAATTATAACCTAAGATCTGACGCCAATTGAACCCAATTAAACCCCGACCCAATCCTAATTAAACTGACCCAGACCCGGATCCCCACCTTCCCTTTCAAATCTCGACCGTTGATCTACCAGATCAATGGTCCACGTTATTTCTTGCCTTTTTAACCCAACGACCCCCCCAAAACTCTACCCCATTCATTCATTTGAACCGCCCCTGAATCCGTCCTCTCCCAAATTCTCTCTACAACACCACCCAAACCCTAGCCACCGCCACCCTAATCCACCATAATCCATGGCCTTCCAAGGTCATCCGAGACCTGTACCAGCCTTCCTTGGCTTTTATATGTTTAGTTCTGTGGTTTCATGACCAGATATTTTGAAGGAATTTGGTCTAGTCCTTGCTCGATGACCTTTCTCCGGTCATCCCTGACCTTTCTCCGGCCAGCCATGGCCGTTCGAGTCAGCTCCTTGACTCTCCTGGCTAGATGGGTAACTTTCAGGGCCTTTCTCATTGCTTTTGGGTTTTCTGAAACCCTAGTCTCTAAGAGTTTCTTGATTTCTTTCAGATCTACCATAGATCTGTGCTTGCCATGAACTTTTTAAGTGCTTCTCGAAGTTTCTTTGACCTTTCTTTCAAAATGACTCTTCACTTTTCGATTAGGGTTTTCCTTCAAGTTTTTCTTGTCAAAATCTCCTCTCTGATTTCAACATGTTTCTGATTTTGCTATGTTTTGTTCATGTTGTTCTCCTATCTGAGTTAGCATGTTGAAAACCCTAATTTCTTTGGGGTCTGAAATTGCTTGTTTGAGTACTTGACTCGACTAAAGCTTTGTTTTAAAACTCTCTTTTCTCTATGTGACTTATCTGACTATGGCTGAAACCCTAACTTTTTAAAAGGGTTTCCTCACCTGCTATTTTCGAAACCATTGCATGTCTCTGAGGCTATGTTTTCTTCTATGTTGATTCAATGTGATTTGACCTACTTGATTACTATGCTTCGAATGCTTGCTTTACTACTGAAACCTAGCCTACTTCTGCTACTACTGCCCGTTTGTGATTTTGTCCATGAGTTTGGTCTCGCATGTCTGATGACCTTGTTCACTTTATTTATATGCTGAAGTTTCTTCCATGATTGATCTTCATCTTGTGACTAATTTCAAATCTCTCCTTTTATGAACCCTGATTTCACTCGCCCGTTCAAAATTGATTGATTCTTTTCCATTTGTTGTAATATTTACCTTGCTAAATCTATTCCCAAAATAAGTATATTTCTGTACTTAGACTCGATTGCTTACTTAATATTTTTTACTACTTCTTTTATGGCAATAATCAGGCTGTCTCTAAATTGATTTCCTTCTTTATTTGAATCTGTTAAACAGTGATTCCTTAATTAAAGGAAATCGCTTGTATGATTGATTCTGACAATTGATTGTTTCCATATTTGTACTAAAATTTATTTATCTCCCTTCCTTCACTCATTTTCAAAAAGGCTATAATACCTTGCATCCCTCTTCTATCAAAAAACAACAAACACAAGGAACGAAACACTTGAGTTCAGAACACACACCTCACTCAAAATTCTCTCTCTCTCTTTTTCTCTGTTACTACTTGTGTTGCTACCTTGTCTAGCCGGCTGAAAGCCAAGGCTAGGCTGTGGAAATTTGCTTACTTTTCTTTCTGCATTTGCTTATTTACTGGTATGTTCTAATTAATTTTCCAGCATCAACAAAAACATGTTTCCTTACTATTTCCCTCGCTCTTGCCTGTTTCTTGCTTGTGTTTAATCAAGTTCCATTACTGAGTATACTGTAATCTGCCCCTTTCTCCTCTGAATTAATGTTTTCTTATGTATGAACTCTGTCAGTCACTTATTATGATTTATGAATCCCAAACCCCCATATCCCTTATGTGTTTGTATTCCTTGGTTGGTTTGGAGGCATGTCAGCATTAGACACTACTGTGCATAACCCAAACCTGACCTTCCCTGGGGTCATAACCTTCATATCCCCTCTATGTCTTTTATTCTCTGGCTGGTTCATGGGTATGCCAACACCATCTATTGATGTGCATGTCCAAATCTGACCCTTCCTAGGGTCATATGCTCCCTGCAATGTGTTCCCAAACCCTTGACCCCTTTGTATGAAAATACTGATTGTTAGCTTTACTACTACTGTTTTTACACCTTACCCCTCTCTATTCTCCACTCAGTTTTAAATCTCTCTTTCTGCACTTCAACTATACTCTTAGACTTAGGTTCTGCCCCTCTTGTGCGAGCCTTGCCATGGGACCCATGAGCTCCCTCTGAACTTGGACACATAAGGGTTGGCCCTTCCACACTGCACTCATCTCTATCTGGTTATGCAAACTTGGGTGTAAGCACTGCCCTAGGTCCCTTGAGACCCTTAGGGAACTTTGACACACCCAGGTCTGAGAAAGGCTTTGAAACAAGTTGGCATTTGAGGTGTTTTGTTCCATAACTCAGAGAGGAAGTCAGAATCAGGCTTCCTATGGTTGTAACTTCTTATTTTCACACTTTTCTGATGTAATTCTGTATTTGGTCTATAATAATTTGTAATAAGCATTGGGTTTGGTTAGTGAAAAAGGGCTGGGTAATTGTGCATGCTTAACTATTAGAGGGGTAGAGATCATGCCTTTAGGACCTGTTTATTTTTTTTTTTGTATAATTAACCCAGTATTTAGATAATATGCCAATAGGACTTGTCTTTAAATTTTGCATGTTTAACTCTGCATTTAGAGAACCTGTCTATAGGACATGTTTTAAATTCTGCATTTAGACCACATGCCTCTAGGATTTGTCTTTAGTTCTGCATGTTTATTACAACATTTAGACACCATGTTCTTAGGATCCTATTGGTTATAATCCGGCATCTAAAATCAGTACCTTTTTCATAGAAATCATGCCTATAGGAATTTCAAGTAAATCCTGCCTGCTTCGTTTCACGTTCAACTAGATATCATGTCTATAGAAATTAAAATCAGCAATAATAGATATCATGTCTATAGGATTTAAAATCAGCAATAATAGATGTCATCATCTGAAACCAGTCTAGTCTAGAATCAGCCTAACTCTCACTGTTCTGAACTAATTTTCAACGACTCTCTCCCTTCTTATTAATACTGTTTAGAAAGCATGTTTATAGGATCTCACCCAAATACCTAGGCAAGCCTTAGGTGATAACAATAATAAAACTGAACCCGCCTTTGTTAATTAGTAATTGCTACAACCAGCAGGCAGGCCTGATTCGGACTTCTTATCTGAGTTATGTAATAAATTGGTCTGCTTCAAAACTGAAACTCCCCTGTCTTTAAATTCTGGCCTTGATTGTGTTTAAGTCATGCTATTTATGTGCTTTTCTTGAGGAGGTATACATTAGCCTTTTGGATGTTTACATGTTCCCCCTTAATGTGCAGTCCTATGTGTTTTGTATGTCAACCTAGCTTTTTTACCTTTTGAAACCTCAAAGTCAGCCTAATATCCCTCCCCTTTAGGAATAGTAGTCCTAAGTGCCTCTAGGACTGATAGGAATGGGACGGGTAATAGCATGCAATAGTGGTCGAGACCAATCTGCGCTTTAGTACCTCGATGGGGTGGGAAGGGTAGATATGGATATGATGACCGGTGCGCTAATACCACGTGTAGCCCCTCTCTCGAGGAGTGATTACCGGGTATTGCATTGATGTGATCCATATTGCAAATAAACCTAGGACCTTCCCCTCCCATTTCTTTCCTTTAAATATTTATAGAATTGTAACTTCTTTTCAAAATCAACCCTTTAATGATTGCTTCGCAAACTCTGTTTTACTTTTATCACTTCCAAACACTTGTGTATTGAAATCCCCTCTTATTTGAGCCTTATTTGTTCACTTGTTAATTGCACAAATTCACAAAGAACTGTCTGGCTGGGAACCACACTAGTGGATCCTGAGGGGTGCCTAACACCTTCCCCTTGGGATAATTTCAAGCCCTTACCCTATCTCTGGTTATCAAAATATAGTTGCAGTTGAACCTTATAGGTGTCCTAATGTACCTTAAATCATTAGGTGGCGACTCTTCAAATGCAAAACCCAGTTCCCAAAAGGAATGAGTTGTCCTATGCCCAAAATGTCACAAACCCGATTTTTCGATGCAAAGAGGGAAAAAGGATGCGCGACAATCTCTATAGCTGAAGCATGTCTAGGCCAGTTCTGAACATCCTTAATCTTCTTCGTTTCCACCTTAATCCCCTCACTGGATACCACGCGGCCCATGAATGCCATTGAATCAAGCCAAAACTCGCACTTGGAGAATTAAGCATATAGCTTCTTCTCCCTCAAAGTCTAGAGCATGATTCTCAAGCACTGCTCTTGATCCTCCAGAACTGCAAGAACACACCAATATGTCATCAATAAACACAATCACAAAGGAATCAAGATATGGTTGGAATATGTTGTTCATCTAGTGCATTAAGGCTGTTGGGGCATAGGTCAGCCCAAAATACATCATTAAGAACTCAAAGTGGCCATAGCGAGTTCTGAAAGCCGTCTTTGGAATGTCTGATGCCCGAATCCTTAACTAATGATACCCCAATCTCAAATCGATCTTCGAGATAACCTTAGCACCCTGAAGCCGATCAAACAAATCATCAATACACGGTAGCGGGTACTTGTTCTTGACAGTAACCTTGTTCAACTGCCAGTAGTCAATACACATCCTCATAGTGTCGTCTTTCTTCTTCACAAACATAATTGAAGCACCCCAAGGAGAAACACTTGGTTTGATGAAACCCTAATCTAGAAACTTCTGAAGTTGTTCCATTAATTACTTCAACTCTACCGGTGCCATACGATATGGTGGAATAGAGATAGGTTGAGTGCTCGGCACCATGTCAATACCCAAATCAATATCCCTATAGGGCGGCATGCCCAGTAGGTTAGGTGGGAACATATCTAGAAAGTCTCACTACCGAAACTGACTCAATGGTAGGATTATTAGCACTAACGTCCCTCACAGAGGCTAAGTATGCCAAACAAGCCTTCTGAACCATCCATTGTGCCTCAAAAAAAGACGCCACCCTACCGGGAATATAACTCAATGAACCTCTCCACTCCAATCTCGGCAACCTCGACATCACCAACGTCACGGTCTTAGTGTGACAATCTAAGATAGTATGATATTGGACGACTAGTCCATGCCCAAAATAGCATCATCAGTCCACCAGGATGAGTAAAAGAAGATCTACCCTAGTCTTATAACCCTTGATAGAGACCACACACGAGCAATAGACATAGTCTACCATAATAGAATCCCTAACAGGCGTAGACACATATACAGGAGCACTCAAAGAGTCACGAGACATATCCAAATATGGAGCAAAATAGGATGACACATACGAATAAGTTAAACCTGGACCAAATAAAACTGATGCATCTCTATGGGAAACCAAAACAGTAACTGTGATGATTGTATTAGACAATTCTGCCTCGGGTCTAGATGGAAAAGCATAGAGATAGGGTTGAGCCCCACTAATCTGACCTATACCTCTCGGACGGCCTCTCCCTGGCTGGTCGACACCTCTAATGT